ATTATAGTGACATTATTATTCATGTAATGCATCGAACATCAACAATAGAGAAATAGGGGATTATGTACACAACCTGACTATTTTCTTATTATTGTCTGAACACTTTATTTTGTTTTTGCATTTCAAACTCGAAATCCTCCCCCCCCCCCCCCCCCCAATTTACTATTTTCTACACATTACACAAATTTTGCCTTGTTAAATGAAGTCCTTGTAGATTCTATCTTATTTATTACTGCGACATTATCTATACACTTGTCGAGAAATCATCAAGTTTTTGTCGCTATTACCAAGGACTATTGATAATTTCAACAAGACGACGCTTGTGCAACGTTTAACTTTTTTTTTCAATTGTAAATATTTTATTTTTGTTTCTTCTTAAATTTTCTTTTCTATTCTTTTTCTTTTTAGTTATATTCTTGTTTTAAAAAAATTTATAGTGCAGTGTTACTAAGGTATTTTTAGTTTTGTTTGGATGCAAGGTCAAGACAATCATGCAAGAAGAAATAGTTGCTACTTTAGCAAAGTTCATAGCTTTACACAAAGGAACGTGGAGCTAAAACTCTAATTCAAAATATTGTGGGAAATTATTTTGAACCAGAGCAATTATGGAAGAAGGATTCATCATCTTAATTGGAAGAAACCTTGACCCAGTTCATAAAGATTACTCAACTCAACTTCTAAAAAATCAACAGGCATCAAGAAAACTTACGAAGGGGCTTGGAAGCTTCCTTCGAGAACTTAGAGATGCAATTTGGTCAAGTATTTAGCCAATTAACATTAAAGTTGAGATCTAGTGTTGATTTTAATATAAATAACTTAGATAGTCATAGAAATAAGGAAATTGAATGAGAATTCAAATACGAATGTGAGGTAGCCGATGAAGGAGGAGTTGAAAAAGAGAAAGAAGAAGAAAAGTGGACCACACTTGATAAAGAAATAGAAGTGAGAATAGAAGCAACAGATGTGAAAAAGATAAGTGGGAAAAGAATAAGAATGCAATATGAAGATTATATAGTTTTGGAGGAAGCTCAAAATTCAATAATTCGTTTAGACGTGGATGTTAAGCTACAAGATCTTCAATAAAAGAATAGTCCTACATTTAGCAACAAGGTTGATAAAAGAGGAGAAATAGATGAAGTTTTGGATGAGATTTATGACTTGTTCGATACTATCAAGCTAAAGAGAATATAAAAGAAAAACTTTTAATTCCTGAAAGTAATAGAATTCTTACCAAACAAAAGGAAGAAGAATGATGATGTATTTTTTGTGTCATATATGTCGCCCTAACACAAAAATCGAAAGGTCAAGCTTAAGACCTTAAAGAAACGCTTAATGGGATGCAACCCATCAGATAAGTTTTTATTTCATTTGCAAAATTTAAATTTCAGTTTATTTCAATTAATCATTTTTATTTTGTAGCATGTCACATTTAGGAGCATTAGGACAGAGACTTAAGAAAGGGATTGAAAGAAGAAAGAGAGACTGAAAACTCTCTATAATCCTATTATTATTTTTTCTAATCTCTTTGCACTTTCTATAGTATTATTATTGTTTCATGCATTGGGTCCAAAGCGAAGCTGATCCTCTCGAGCATCATCATAAATCAGACTTGGGCATAGTGGATCTAACAGAATCAAGACTTCAACAACACCATGCAAGATTTGCAATACCTTTTTCGCTCCAATGACATGTTAATTTGGATTTTTCAGAATTTGTATTAATTTATGTCATTCTCTTTTACTTCCAACAAGTCAATATTTCAAGTCAATATAGAGTATTAGCTTCAATACTTGGTTCCCCTTTGTATCAATAAATTTATGTTTGTATTTAGTAAATAAGTTTGTTGATGTTGTTTCTTTCAGATTTACAATTGTAACTTTAGCTGTGAACATATGAACCATAAGCATCATCAAAAACAAAGGTGATCGTCAAGAAAGTTTCTTGCAGATTGAGAGTTGAGGATGAAAGGAACAACCAATTACCTTGTACTCAATCTCCAAATTTCTCAACTAGTAAGGTTTGAGTCAAATACTCCATTGTTTATTTTTCCTTCTTATGAGAGTATTCGTACAATTGCTATTTTCTAAAATTTGTATTATTTTTTATTTAATCTATTGGTTTGATAAATACACACTGAGAAACTTGTTTGTGGTAAGCTCTGAGCCTTTTCAAACTAACTCGTATATCATGTTTATATCCTTTGCTAACCACTTTGAGCCTAAGCCCTTTCTTTCGGTGACATAGCCACAATAATTATCAAATTGACTTAAAAGATTAAATCTTTCCACCCTCTCTTTGTAGTTAGGTAAAAAAATTAGTTCTTTGGTCATATACAAAAGAATAAGTTTGAAGTTGCTTTTGGAAGTGAGCAAAGTTTAAGTTTGTGGTTTGTGTAATAGAGATTTTGGTCAAAAAAATTCAAAAATAAAAATGAGAAAAATCAAGGAGTCAAAGCAACTTCTTTAAAAAATGAAAAACAATGTTTAGGACCATAAAATTTTAATCTCTAGTACCAAAGTAATTAAGCAAGAGATGAAAGGAAAAGGAATATGATAAAATAAGAAAAAGTAGGTACCTAACTCCAATGGTTTAAGCCTATTATCTTAAATTATCTTACCCTGACATAGGCCTTATTACAACCTTGAAAGACATTTAAAAGTGTGTGTTTAGATGACTTTGATTGATTTTATTAGAAACTTTACAAACTTATGATAAAATACTTTTGTACATTGATTGTGTGATTACCCTATCAATTCAAGTGAAAAATTAGTGAGTTGAGATACATATTTAGTACTTGCTGTGTTGCAAGAACTTTTCTAAATTTGCTCGGTTGAAGTCGGGAACTGGGACGATGATCAGTTAACACAATTGGTGGTATTCATTCTTTATTATTGCAATTCTTTTTTCTGTTTGAAATGTGCAGTTGCAGCCGAGTTACTTGAGGACAAGCAATAGATTAAGTCTGGGGTTGTGATAACAGTTTGTCATTACATGATTTCTATGAGTATTTGCGATGGATTTGATGGAATTTCAAGTTAAAAATGAGTTAAATGTGAAGAAATATGAATAAAGTGAAGAAGTTGAAGAAATAGAGTAAAACCAAGAAACCGAGAAGAAATTATGAAGAAACGGGTAACTTTCAGCACAGTCTACATCTTGACGTCTGTCTAGTAAATTAATCATATTTGGAGCTCCGTAACTCTTTTTGATGTGGGTTTTTTGCAAAATGAAGCTAAAAGAAATCTACATTCTAGAATAATCACACGCGCAATGGAAAGTATCGCGTGTGCAATGCATCGTGTTCAAAATCGCGCGCGCGATGATACCTTTTGGGGCCTTTTCTGACGTGTTTCTGATCCATTCTGACTGCTTTAAAAGGGGAAATTTGATACTTTTCAGGGGTTCAAAAACTTTACATGAATTTCTACACTGAAAGTGACGATTTGCAACACCATAAAGCATATTTGGAGAGCATTTGAAGTCATTAGAGGTCAATTCTTCAAAGGAATTCTTATGCAAACCTCTTATCATTATTTTGGTATTTTAATCTGAATTATGAGGAACTAATTCTCTCTAGGTTAGGTCGTGTTTAATGAACCTGTTTCGATATTGTTGGGACACATGTTAGATTCGATATTGTATGAGTATTTTGATCTATAATTCTATTCAACTACTTCTTGTTCGTAGTGCATTTTATGTGAGATATTCTTTTAATGTGATTTTAGGCACATAAAGAATACTGATCATTAGTCTATGTGTTGGACCTAGGGCATTTATTGTGCTTACGCTGGTTGAATAGGGATAGAAGACCTCGAGTAGTGGCTAGTGAATTAACGCTCTGTTGCATTGCCTAATCCTGCTTACGCTAGTGGACTAGAGATAGAAAACTCCGAGTAGTGATTAGTGGGTTATATCGCAAAGGATTGGTTATAGCAGTTTTGTTAATTTGTTGTGGGATGATATTTAGGTCCAAACGAAAATGGAATTAGAATGAGGTAGAATATGAAAGAAATTGTTTGCAATCACTTCAGATAGATTTAAAAATCCTTTTGAAAATGAGAGAACAAGTGAGTTTTGAGTTTTCAAAATAATAATGGAAGTGTATGTTTTCCAACATTGTTATTGGTTTTGAAATGAAAAAAATTTTATATGTAATGGAGATCTATCATAAAATGAGTGAAAATGGTGTATGGTTTAAGTCGTGGGCAAGAGATATTATTCGACACACAAAAATTAAGTGATTTGATTCAAAAAGAAAAAACCATATGAAGGCCTATTTGTGTGATTCGAGTCACATAATCTATGATTCACATCAGATGATTCGAGTCATGAAATTTGGTGATTCAAATCAGAATTCCAAAAGCAAACAAGAAAATTTTAGTTCAGTGTGGTTTGAATAAAAAAGTTTGTGATTCGAATCATGAAAATAGAAAAAAGGAAAAAGGTCACTAATCTCCTTGTAAGTATGAAACGAGTCATTAATAGTGTAATTCAAATCACACTTTCAGAATCTCATTTTTACAAAATTTCAAATGATTTTTGAGATTTTAATATTATCATGAGTTGATCATTTTCAAATATAATTTTATGTTTGGTTATAGTTTAAGTAATATGTTTCAAGTCAATCTATTGAGTTTTTGGATTAAAAATTTTAAAACAAGGCTTGGACACACCTATATTAGCCTCTGATGAAAAATCCAAAATATCCATATGCTAGCATAATTCTATTTTTATGCCAAAGTTTCTTGAATCTCAAACAAGACTAAGAACAAGTTTAATAACATTAAGTGAAATGTTCTAACGCTTTAAATAAAACGACGATCATACATATCATCTTCCCCGAGAATCACTGTAAATATCCCTCGTCTAAATAGATTTCATTTCGGTTCCAATAGATAACCTGTACAAGATAAGGAAAAATCTTTAAATTAGAAAAAGGAACAAAGAGGTAAATATAGTCCTGAAGTAAAATTAAACTAAGAACAATGATATAACATACCTCATAGTTCAATATCTTGAACTCCTACTAAGAATGAACTTGAATCATTTGATCCCAAAAGTGGAATATACTCTGACCCCCTCACGTGAACACTATAGCAAGCTACATAAACAACAAGTGTTTTCAAGATTTGGTGCAAAAACTATTGTGGCATCAATTTTGGATAGAGAAGTTAGTCTTCCAAATAGAAATTTGAAAGCCGATACATTACCGTTCTCTATTTTCGTAACACTTTGAAGCATGACATCCATCTTTGTTTTCATATCATAATTATCATCCATATGTGGCACGACAAGTGTAAGCTCCCTATATATATCGCGTGCAAAACTGCATATTTTCTCAGCAAATTCAAGTTCGCCGTCTGAAATCCTACCAATGGCCAACCGCATGAGCTCTCCGGTCAAATCTGCAAGCTGTAACAGAATATTGAGAACTTTATGGAGAAAAAGCATAATTAATTTGAATGCTTACTTCATCTACATGTTAAGATTACCAAAGGAGAAATAAAAGCAAACAGAATCGTAGAGATCATCAGAACAAATCAAGCACTTGAGAATGCATTGACGCAGCCCTTATTTAAATGTTATATCTAATGTAGCACCGATACCAATTGAAGACATTTCCGGTGTCCATGTCTAAAACAATGAAACTAACACAATACCGACACATGCAGTTACATTCAATTATTCATTTTTCTCAAATTAATATTGGTGTTGAGATGTCAGTGTCGTGTCACTGTCAGGTGTCTGTATCAGAGCTATTCAATGATTCATTTTGCTCAAACTATTCTTGGTGTTGAGATGTCAGTGTCGTGTCACTGTCAGGTGTCTGTATCAGAGCTATTCAATGATTCATTTTGCTCAAATTATTCTTGGTGTTGAGGTGTAAGTGTCGTGTAAATGTCAGGTGTCTGTGTCAGGGCTGTTGTATCAAATAATCAACAACATGAATAGATCAGTCGGATAACAGTAAAAGCCGAGAAAGAAATTCACCCCTAACAGATAGTCAAGGATGTTTATCTGCAGAGGCTGGAGAGAAGGATCACTGAGTGGTAACAACGTGTCATTCATCTCATCAAGCTTCAAAAGAGCTCCGTTTTTACAGAAACTGCAGAATGTAGCTGCTTCCACATACTCCTGTATCTGCCAACACAGAAAAAAATATCAGGTAAAAGTATTTGAACTCAAACATTGAAACAAGAAAGTAACTGAAAGTATACCCCAGGCGAGTAGGCTCGTCTTAGCTTCCAAAAATCAGTTCCCTGCAGTTCTTTGACTAGTCGAGACACATACTGGTTTGTCACAGCTGCTAAATCCTTTTCTGCTTTCTCAAGTACTTCCACTTTATTGTATTTACTCATCCTTGTTAAAAAAATAGAATATGGCACGTAAGACCAAGAAGATAAAAATCACATGCAACAATAAATAATCCTTTTCTGCTTTCTCAAGTACGTCCACTTTATGATGAATGCGAGAGAAATTAAAGAACAAACAAAGTATGAAGGACAAACTAATTCAAGCAAAGACCGTGGAGAGTACAGTTTATAAGGGATTCAGCTGATCCAAGATAGCAAAACAGTTATAGATCAAACAACGCAAACACAAGCATGAAGAGATTGAGATGTAAAAGGGATAGGTAACCTGTGCACTTGAAATATGACCTTTTTGCTATTCATTGTTATATCACGGCTTGCTTTCACTACTCTTTCCCGTTTATCATTCTACAAATACAGGTTACAAAAGTCTCAAAATAACAGTCAATAGCATTGAATGGTATGCAGCAATGTTGTAAAGGGAATGACTATACAGGATATTCAGAGCTAACTCAATATCCATATACTTCAAATTCAAAAGCAGTCAAATTATTGTATATTCAATAAATAACCAACTTTCTATATCTTTTTCCCAAGTTTCTATCAATTTCTCTGATCGGTTCTTGATCCTTCCTCTATCAGGATTTAACTTAATCCTAACAAACAACCACAGGAATATCTCATAGTTACATGCATGTAACACAAACATAAGCATATATTATAAATAATTGTACACTTTAGACGTAAAGGCGCATCTAATCATCTAGGTATTACTCTTACACTGCTAAAAAATAGCTTCTAACTTGATCATGAGAGTATTCCCTGCAAGTACCCTTGTGCTTGCTCAACCCAGCCCAGGTTCCATATTAAACAGAGATAAGACCAGAAAATAGTTTTACTAAAATCTACACTCCTCGCATCGAAAGCGGGTTTTGTAAGGTGATGGATTCCCTTTTTTATAACTTTAAGGTCTTTTCTCTTTTCATTGTGAAACTTGGGTTTTTTTTTTCAACGGAACTACTCACCATCTCCACCATCCGAAACATCAAACATTTCTATCTGCCCAAACTTTTCATTATGAGAACATCCCCCCTTACTCATTTTCTTAAAACATTTTATAACTATCTAATCTAATACTAGTAAAAAATGAAAGTGACTTTCCCTCTCTTTCCCTTCCCTCCAAACACAATGAACTAGATAGTATAGTACACTAAATCGGTACAATTGAGACATGGATCTAAAAGCAATAAATGTTAATAGGCTCATTCAAAGTGTCCGGTCCGACACGTGTTATATGAGCGACAAAGTGTCGGGCCAATTCAAAGAATGTCAAAGCAAAGAAAAAACTATATTTAGCTTGGAAACAACTATCTGACTTTTCCGACACGTGTCGTACGGACGTCATACAAGTGTCAGACACCAAAGCATGTCAGACAACACTTAACGACTATTCTAGAGGTGTAAACCTAAATGAGAATAACCATTTCTCAAAACCTCACCACATCCATACCCCAAATATAAAACTAAAAAAATCAAATCTTTAGGCATCAAAACAATAACCCTTAAGCTAATCTATTCACTCATTTACACACTGAACTCACATTCCTGCAATGAAATTTAGAAAGCTTGAAAAACCAAAGATAAGAAGCATTACAAGGTTATTAAGATATTCAACATATTTGGTAAAAGGTTCCTTCATAGGAGACTCTGTTGCAGTTGCAGTGGCAGTGGCCATGGTTTTTGCCCTCTTTGGTGTGTTCTGAAAGTTTGTTCCTGCAACTGCTGAAAACACAATCGAAAATTAAATTAAAATTGTTTATGTAACGAAATCAAATGATAGAGAAAGAGAGTTACTTTGGTGAAGACGTTGAGGTTTTTCGGATGCCATGAAAAGAGAAACTTTGTGAAGTGAAGATGAACGTAACATCTGTTCTGTCTTTTCAACCACACCTAAAAGCCTAATTTAAACCCAAACCCATAAAATAAAATTAAAATAAAGAAATATTATTTGAAACAATTAAATTATGAGAGGAGAAATGTTAATAAAAATTATAAGTAAAGTATGATTATTTAATTATAAAATTATTTCTGTTTTCTGTCCAAAAAAAATATATTCTATTTCAATTATAATAAAAAACATTTTACACATTTATTTCTATATACAAAACTTTAAAAAAAAACAAATATATATTAAATTTGGAGTTCATTTTGTTCTCTTAACTTAATAAAAATTTATATTGATTCATTAACTTTTTAAAATATTATTTTATTTTATTTTAGTTAGCGATTAATTTGGCCACCCATTTTTTATTGTTAATTAAACAAAAAGAAATAATATAATGCATTTTAAAGAATTAAATGATCAATATAAACTTTTTTGAATTAAGGGACAAAATCAACTGCTAGGTTAATTTATGGGAAAAAAGGATATTAAAACTAAAAAATAGCATAATTTATTAATCACAAATTTTTCATTATCAAATACTCAACCTAATCATAAGATATAAAGGGGGCCCAGATTAAGCCTCGAGCTTTTCAAACCACCAAATTGGGGATCTCTTTATCTAAAGTCGGAGAGGAAGAATTAGTCACCCCGTTGAGAAGGAGCACTGGCTTGTTTGCTAAGACTCCCTCGGACATGCCCAAAATTGATATGAGGGTGGTATGTCATCGTCTCGTCGTAGACTCTATAGTAATGCATGTGATCCAGAGCAAGCGCAAAGTAGGCTAAGACAAGCGATTGATTGTATATAAAGAGGTCGAAAAGCTAAAAGGCGTCAAGCTTATAACGAAGGTCAAATATCTAACTTGGCTGGCTAGTGTGATTTTGGTTTAAAAGGCGTCAAACAAATGGAGAATGTGCGTTGACTTCACCAATTTGAACGTCTCCTACCCTAAAGACCCATAGTCATTGCCCAACATCGACAAACTAATTGATGGATGGTTGGGATACAAGACATTGAGCTTCATGTACGCCTATTTTTGATACAATCAGATAAAGATTGACCCCTTGGACTCCCCCAAAATGGCGTTCATGTCCAACCATGATAACTATTACTACAACGTTATGTCATTTAGTTTAAAGAACACGTGTGCCCCTTATAAAAGGCTGAAGGATGCAATATTCTCAAATTAAATTGGATGGAACTTGTTGGGTGAGAATATGGAGTAGAAAAACGGTCAATAAACTAAAAAAAAAAAATTCAACCAATTTTCCAAAATGGATAATCAGATGTTTTGCAGAGTTGTGCGCGAAAGATTTAGAGAAAAAAAATATGAAAATTATACTTTTATCGAAACTTGATCACGTTAACACTTAATCACTTCACAAATATCAAAGATGATTTAATGATGATACACAAAAGTATTCAATTGATTTAATTGTATATTTCATGATGTGTGATTATACAACGATTCAATTTAAATGAATTCTAAACTCAACAGTTTCTCAGAATTTAATCACCATTAAAGTTCGATTAGGCACCAATTCTAACAAAACCTAACCATGCACAATAAATTGCTACCAGATTGAATAAATGATAAACTACACTAGAATTGAAAACCCAAACATGTAATATGCTGCAAAAATCAAGTGAGAGAGAGAGAGAGAGAGAGAGAGAGAGAGGACATCCGGATTTATAGTGCTTTAATGTTCGTCCTCGCTTTGCCTACTTCATTCTCCAATGGTTTCTCAATGGAACCTGCATTATTCCTTTTTATTTTTACAAATATTGCAAGAGTACATAAAATCACTTATACACAATAATATTGAGAAATATAAATCTCTTATCTAGATTTTAACCTGTATACAGTGTAGTGCCAAACTCTTATGCGTAATATTTACTTGATTCACACTTCTTGAATCTTCCAGTATCACCAATCTGCTTCAAGCTTTCGGGTGTAACAATCACCCTTTGATCCTACAGATTCTTTGAGTGATGAACTATCTGAAGATTGGAGAATAACTTCACCTTGTTCGTAGTCTTCCACACGATTACTATCAAGGTAATATGGAGAGAAAACCCTCATCATTTTCACTAGAATTTCTCAAAATCAATGACAACAACCTCAATCTTGCAAGAAACCTAAAAAATTTTACCCAATATTCAAGAACGATTAGTTTCAAGACGGTGTCTCCCTTAATCAATTACAAATCTCTCATTATCAAGATCTAAAATCGAAATAAAGGTTGAAGATGAAAGTAATTTGATTGCAAAAGTTTAACTTTTCAAAAGTGAGAGGGTGTTGGTTTCACAGAAAGTTATAATGTTGATTATGAAAATCTTACATGAAAAATGATGACAAAATGATTTTATATGTGCTTGATATTAAGCACAAAAATGGATGGAAATTTTTTATTAGATTCAAAGTCAAGTGCATTTTATGATTTGAGTCAAATGAGAAAATAGAGTGAAACAAAATCTCATAAAGAAAGTGACCCATTTTCCTATGATTTGACTGTGATTCGAGTAACACGAGTTCATGATGAAAAATATCATGACTTAAACCATCATGAAAAATATCAAAAATAAAAATTTATTTTTGCATGCTAAAACAAATAAATGAATCGATTCAAACTTGATTCTGAGATGTGCAATCAAGGAGACTCAATAAACAATAATAAATGAAAGCGAAAAGACAAGCAACAAAATAACCATATTGGGGGTGCTCTCCTTGAATGTGTTAGGTACATGCAACAGTCTCCCCCCAGAGATATGCAACTTTAGAACTTGGAACTCTACATCGCTAATATGATTGTAAAAACTACGGACTATAGCAATCACTCTACAGATTTGGAAAAATCTTGGAGCCAGTTAGAAGATATAATAGTATGCACTTTAATCCAACCAAACTCTCATTTAGGGTGCAAATTCCTTGGCTTCATGCTAACCAGAAGGGGAATCACTATTACAAAAAACAAAGTTAACATCGGGCACGAGGGGAATTTAACCTCCAATACAGAGGCGGGGTAACGAAGGGGGTCATGAAAACTTGTCACATTACCCCTCAGTTTTGAAATAATCAAGGGGTAAAGTGTTATTCACATGGGTCTGATCCCCCACTTTTGAATTTTTATCATTTTGAGAACTAGATGGCGCACCCCTCATTTCCTCTCGGTTATTTGAGAAACCAAAGTAACAAAGAATAATTATTGCATTGGTTTAAAATAATATCTGAGGGGGAAACATTGTCGTTTAATTTTTTTTCTATATTTTTTTGAACCTGTATTACAAAATGATATTTTAGTCATTTTTGAAACAAAAACATTGTACTTTTTGCCCATTTCTCAAACACACATTTTGTACTAAAAATATTCATTGTTTACACCATTTGTAAAGCCAAAATGGCATTTGTACACCTTATAATGTTTAAACAAATTAAAACTAAAACAAATGACTAACCAACAAAATAAATGACCAAAATGCAAATTCTTGTAGGTCGTCTAAAATTTCTCTTTTGTGATTTGTCACTGGTCGTTAAGCACTTCTAAATTGAATCACATTTAAAACCAATTAAGATTATAAATAACAACAACACTAAAACTTTAGTAAAAATAATATAAAAATATAAATGAGTAGATATATATTACTAAGTTATATAAAATATTTACTTACTAGTTCTCCCTTATTTGTTCTTGATGATCATGAATTCATGATGAATAACATGCACATCATCATCATAATCATTTTCTTCAGATGAGAGACGTACATGTGTTGTGAAAAAGGGGGTATCAAAATTTAAATCTTGATTTTCATCACTATTAGAAATATATTTTTATTGTAGAATAATTGATTGTCTTGTGTTAGAAGGATCATGGACATAAAAAACTTGTTTTGCTTGGGATGCCATGATGAATGGTCCGTTCATATAAGTTGCCTTTTGAAGATCAGCATGTTTGAATCCTTATTCATCGGTTTCTACACTAGTGTTATTGTCAATCGACTTGCACTTAGATAAAGGCACTTTAAAATTAACATAATCCATCTCTACAATCTTCTAAATGATCACAAAGTATGCTCTAGATGCAAGTACAAAATTCTTATCTTTTGAACTAGAGAAGTACATGGGTTCAGCTTTAACCATAACCTCACTATTTTGCATGGTACTACGATTATCCTTTGATTTTGTATAAAATGAATATTTAGTAATGTCGTATGCACTCCAAGCTATTACATTAAACTTAGGTATATGTGACATCCATTTAATTGTATCTAGTGCACTACTTTCTTTAGAAACCCTTTCATTAAACCAAGTTATGAAAGTTTTGTTAAGCTTTGCCAACAACATTTTTTCACTCATCCGAGGGAATTTTTTTTTATAAGACTTTTGTAAGTGGTCAAGTAAGGTTGAACTTCATTAACTTTATTCAATATATATAAATGTGCTTGAAGAACTACATCTCAGTCAAATGTCTTAACATTAAAACCTTAAATACCTCTATTATCGTATCTTCCATCATAACGAGACTCGGGAATTCCTATAGAGTTTGTTTTTCACAAATATTTATTACAAAACTCAATATCTTCTTCTGTGATGTATCGTTCAACGATCGAAGCTTCTGAATGGTGATGATTTTTTATATACCCTTTAAAGATCTTCATGTATCGATCTACCGGATACATCCACTGTAAATAAAATGAACCATGAATTCTAATCTCCCTTACTAGATGAACAATTAAGTGAACCATAATGTCAAAAAATCATAGAGGGAAAAACATTTGCAATTGTCATAAGATAATTATAGCCACATGTTCCAAATCATCTAAATTTACAGGTTCAATGACTTTGCTACATATAACATTGAAGAATAAGCATAATCTGGTTATTTCTTGCCTTACATGTTTTCGTAGAATGCCATAGATAGCCATAAGTATGAGTTGTTGCATTAAGACATGACAATCATGAGATTTTAAGCCAACTAATTTG